TACCAGCAGGAGAAAGAACCCAGCCGGGACCTGAAGTGAAAAGAAACCAGTAGAAAATATACAGGTTAACAAAGCAAGAAAAAAAACCGTATAAAGCATCTTAATGTAAGTAACTAAATTAAATAACCAATTAAACGTTGTTTTATTTCTATCCCTATCAATTGCTCACCTGTAGGTTTGTTGGATTATAACTCTAAAAGCTACATTTCAATACTCCTAGTGGACAGAGCACAGAAAAACTATTGTGTTTCTTTGCGTTTAAACAATAAAAAAGAAATTATCTGGCTAGAATTTGGTCGAACGATCTGAAAGTCTCCATAAAGTATTTCAGTCTTTGGTATCCCTAACTGAAAAGAATGGTCTTAGGAAACTTGAAAGTTTTAAAGTAAACTTTTCACTTTTCAGAAAACAAAGCAGTTTTTTCCACCACCTTTAAAAATAAACTAAACGTATCTTTTTAATTTTCATTTATTATTTACTTACCCAGAAGGCCCTCGTCAACTTCATTCTTAGTTAGTGGTAGTTGAAAGCTAGATGACGAAAGCAAGTTTCGATAGCTTTGCAAGGTGCAAGCCTTCACCTCTATTATTACTATAAATTGCGTCTTTTCTTACCGCCAACCTTGGCTTGCTCTGAAACAGAAGTTAGGGAGACTGGTTTAAATACGCTGTGCCGAATGGGACGTTCCTCGAAGAACAGCGTAGGATGGTACATTTGAGAAAGCGTGCACCAGTACTAAACATGCCCAGCCTCCTGGCAATCAACTGACACACATAAAACAATTTCAGTAAATAAATTTCTTATTTTCCATAGGGAAGAAGAATACAAAGCAAATGACAGACGCGCTGCCCGGGTGCACTCAGGTAGTGATAGCCACCAGTCTGGAACCGGGAATAACTTAAGTATGCTCCGTTTTACTTTTTTTTTTTTTACTTCTGTTATCAGAAACGGCGTTTTAAACTGAAGAGACACACGTGGAAATTCTGTCAGCCAAACTTGTTTTGGTATTACTGAAGAGGCCTTTAACGTATTGCTTCTTTTTAAAATCACCTTCCTTGCTTCCTTTTTTTTTCAGTTAACGTTATGCTTCAAGAGACTATTAAACTTGATAGAATATAATAAGCTGAGACATTATAACAAAGAGTTAGGAATAGAATATTTTGAAGCCTCAACCAAAACATTTAACATTAAGCGATCTAAATATAGTTTAGTATTGTTTTTAGCAAACTTTTAGTTCTTTATTTCTCAATAATTTATGATTAGGCAAATTTGCTTTTAATAATTCGATACGTTTGATACATAATAGTTTTGAATCAGAGCAGTATACCCGTTGTTTCCAGTATACCCGTTGTTTCCGTGAAGTTTGACCAGAACGTTGCGTGACGTTATTTTCGCAAACGTTCTTGAGGTTTCTTTGCGTTAATTCGACATTCTACAGTAAATATCCAACTTAAATAATTATATTTTAAAATAACTTCTAAGTTATAAGCCAAACACTGAGCAAAATTTAATATGTAATTTCATTTGTGTTTTATAAACGTAGTATCATGAGTTCGAAGTACATGTGGTTCTTATTGGCTTATGAAGAACGTTGATTTTAAAAGTATATAGTCTGTTTGTTTTAGAGAAAACCCAGATTGAAATATCGAGTCCCGGATTTTATTGTTGTAATTCCATAGACTTACTGCTGTTCCACCAAGGGACAGAAATATTAAAATATAACCATATAAAATCGAATGTCGACTGAACTCTACCAATATATATACATGCATAAGAATATAGAACAAACTATCTCTCTCTCTCACAGTATAGGTATTGAGCTCAAAATTGTTTCATAAACCTGTACTGAAAATAAAGGACTTATTAAATAAACCTTCAATAATGAATACTATAAAATCGATATATATATATATAATATCTATAAAAATTGAGGAAACAAGAAGAAATAAAAAACAAAAGATTTAATAAACAAAAAAGGGCAATCAATGTACATAAAAAGGTTACCCATAATAGGAAGTAAAAAACATAGAAATATTGTATAAAAAAGAAGAAGTACACAAAGGGAAATGACAGAAGCATTATTGTTAAATATTTTTGAAGGTTTTCCCTTTACCTTTATTGAACACCATCTATCGCACGCGAGTTTTGTTTGTATAATTTAAAAGCCAACGTACATTTTATTCTCTTTCTTTATACCAACTAAGAAAACTTTGCCGAAGAAGACCAACACAATGGTATAGGATTATTTTTCCGCTGTCTAAATGTTTTCTTTTGTATATTTCGCTATTAGGTTTCCAGCAGCTGACCCTTAATAGTGCGAATACATAAATTAAAAAGAGTATAAAAATGCAGAGCAACAACAAAGCTAAACCTACTAGATCAATTCAGTGTGAAAGATGACATAAGAGTAACTCAAACTTTAGAGCGTTTAAAACTATATATAGGGACAAAAGTTATTATACATTTGGTACAGTTCGTATTAGATGGTTGGAACTAAAGAAAATATTACAAAGACAAATGAAACCAATTCAATTATTGTTTGTAATAGTTAGAAAGTAAATTATGTTCTGAGAGAAACAACTGCATTTTCGCCCTTCCCCACAATATATATGTATCCAAGCAACTTTGTTTCAGAACTTTTTTCTCTAATATCACCATTGTGTCAACACTAGTTTAGTCTTACTGTATAATCAGTCGTTAGCTAAACGAGTAAGCACATAGTGTAATTAGCGGCTCGAAATGAACCGAGATATCGAGGATTCTGAGCAAATCGCAGTAGTTTTACTTTTAAGTAAATTGAGGACACAACAGTAAACATAAGTGAATACTCTTTATAGTGTTATCAATGAACAATATAAATAAGACGTGTGGGCAAACTATGGCTATTGCTGATAGAGAAAATAGAGATCTGATGAAATCAGTGCAGAATGAGTTTTATTATAGTTTTATAAACATGATCAATGGTGCGAGTAGCAGTGGTGGCAGATAATACGGTCAAAAAATCAGAGTCTTCACTGTGTCAGTGATCAGTGATCACACAAGTAGTGTAATAAACATGCCGAATTGGTTGACTTTATTTTATAACAAAGACGCAGGAACTGAGAACTCTCTCTCACATATAACTATCATGTGCTGCTAAGACCAATCTCTTAAACGAGGAAACCCACACACTTCCACAGAAGAATTGACACTGAATAAAATCAGCCTTGTACTTCACCATCCCACATTCAAAAATATTCGAATCACATGAAAACATATTCCAAGAAAATGTTTGTTATTCAAAATAAAAACTTGCACGAATCCCTAAGTCTGAACTGCCATATTTGGACACCATAGGCTTTAGTTATAGCACCACAGAAGATTATATAGATACTTCTTTACCAGAATAATATGTAAAGTGATATATATATATATAAATATAACACATGTATACACATTAAGTTATAAAAGGGTGGTCATGACGTAGAACGTCACAACATCGTGTTGACTGGACAGATGGAGTATGTTTGGTGGAATGGAAAAAACCTCAAGAGCTGAAGAGCACTTATCTTTGATGCTTCAGCTTAGACTGAAGAATTATACATATAACTCACATTCTATAAGTAACAATTAAATAGTAAATTAATGTGTTTTGTGAATTGACCACTAAAACATCGACAGACTGTGTACTTGAGGTTTGTAATAAATATAATTAAAATGTGACTTGAAAATTCTACAAACTGTTTATATTTAAACATGCCGTAAGCTACTTGTCGGTTCTGTATATTCTATAGCTCTGCGCTGTACTACATAATGAACTCGGGTTTTATATTTGTCAAAAACAAAAACAAAAACAAAACAAAACCTATGGCGAGTTCGAACCTAATACATGTTCTATAAATTTTACATTATTCGAGTGGACTCTCATCAGCCGAGGAAGTTAAAAATAAGCAGTTTGTGCCTAAAAGGAAGATAAAAATGCGGAGAATTAGATAATATGTTAACAAAATATGGAAAAGGTGAATAGAATTTGTCTTTGTGATGTTTCAGCTTAGATTGAAGAATTGTATACACGATTCATATTCTATACATAGCAATGTTTATACTCGTGGGCTCAATTTTTACAAGGTTGTTTTAAGATTTTACTTTTAGTCTTGGTTATATTGTTTTTACGTGTGCTGTTTTATATTACATTCCCAACAGGTACAAGTTTAAAATCATGGAGCTTGATACTTGTTAATCCCCTGAAGCCGAGCCGTATTTTACTGGAAGTTTACCCTCTGGTTAGGTTTGGTTTGTTTTGAATTTCGCTCAAAGCTATACGAGAGCTATCTGCGCCAGCCGTCCCTAATTTACCTGTGCAAGACTAGAGAGAAGGCAGTTAGTCATCACCACCCACCGCTAACTCTTGGGCTACTATTTTATCAACAAATGGTAGGATTGACCGTCACATTATAACGCCCCCATGGCTGAAAGGGTGATCATGTTTGGTGGGACGAGGAGTCGAACCCGCGACCCTCAGATTGCGAGCTAAGCGACATAACCACCTGGTCATGCATACTTTTCCAACTGGTTCAACGTTCAAATCGTAATAAATATTTTGAAATTTTGTGGATATTAAGGGTTTCTACATGCAAATACCCGCCTTCACGATTTTATTTTACACAGCTGTGGTAGCAAAAATTTACAAGTTTTTACAAAATTACAAAAAAGGCTCATTTCAAATTACACAAAACTTTGTTGCATGAAAAGTTTCTTCAAACTTCCAAAAATGAACATCTTATCCCGAAATTTGTTCAATTGTAAAGTTGGTATTAACAAATGGCGTTTCTTTAGAAAATGCAAACAATCTCAAAATAAATTTTTGGACATTAAATTAAAAATAAAGCTTATGAAATTAAAATTCAAAAGAAACAATCTGAAGTTCTAGATTAACTGAAAAATAGAGTTAGACTCTAGATTTAGTATATTTCAAAAGGAATAATAAAGCTTTAATTGAAATTGAGTGAAATATTTGTATGAATTCAATGATGACCTTAAAAAAGCGTAAATATGGATGCACGATATTGTAACACCCATATGATGCTACTCATAATTTATCAAACTATCATTTGTCTGATGATGAGAAAAGGACTCTTAGCCAGAAGGTTAACATTTTCTAATACACCTAAGAAAATTATGAAGAGTTTTATTTTCTAGGTTTCTAAGCCTTCTTACAACAATTATCTAAGTGTCTAATTTGGAAAAACTGGTGCGCAACTTTTGAGCAGATTAGAACTCAAATCATTAGTTCTTGGGATCTTACAATATTTTACACCTAGAAAAAACAGAAGAGTAAAGTGAAGCAAGAAAAACTCCGGCTTTGAAAGCTTTAAAAACGGTAAGGACATTGTGATCTCTAAACCAGATAAAGGCAATGAGGTTGTGATTTCAAATAAAACAAATTACATCAAGAATTCTAAATAATACGAAATTGGGAGCGATCTCATAGGAACCAAGGAAGACAAATTTACGTGATATCTTCGGGAAAATTGTTATCAAAAGTTCAGAAGAACGGGCTCGTATTGAGGGTTTTTATATAGACTCACTAAGTTCACAAACAGTTATGTTCAGTTAGACCATTTTTTTTCTAATGTAGGCACCAATATCCGACCAATAGCAAGATTTTTTATCCTGGTTTTGAAATAATATGTCCAGAATAGATATTCTAGTAAGGCTACTTTTGGATTTGGCAATAGTTTAAAACAGACACGTTTTAATTATGATGTTCATTGCGCTACTTATTATATCAAGTTATTGTTTAGAAAAATACCTCTAGATTAAACCATTATTCTTGTTTTTATCTAATCTTGTGCTTGTTGAAAATGAAACTGTAGAGGGAATAAGTAACGACGTTTTAAAAACACTTTTACATTCGTGACGAAATAGTCACATTTTATATGTAACGGTAAAAATCTACGAACGGATTGATGGAGTGGTTATGGGCTTCAGCCTTGCTCCTAATCTTTCTAATCTTCTTCTATGCTTCCATGAAAAAGTTTGTTATAGTGCTGTCCGAGACGTTTTAAGCCTTTATATTACAGGAGATAGGTTGACAACACTTTTATGGTATTTAATAATGTTGATATGATTAACGAATTTATCTAGTTTTTAAATATGAAACATCCCAACATATAGATTACTGTTGAAAATCAACAGAATGACAAACTCTCATTCTTAGGTGTTCGTGTCTTCAATAAACAGGGTATGCTTACCAGTAAAGTGTATCGTAAATCCACTTTCACTATATTTTATTCACGTTTTGAAAGTTTTACTCCTTCAGTTTTTAAAGGAAATCTGGTTAAAACCATATTATACAAAGCCTTAAAGATATCAGGAAATAAAAACCTTTTTGAAGCAGAAGTTGAAAACATTAAACAAACGCTTAGAAGAAATTGTTTTCTTTGTTGTTCGTAAATACAATAAACCACACCAAAACTGAAAAACTAAATAATCCATCTGTTGTTATATGTTCGAACGAAAACTTTTATTTCAGTCATATTGTTTTTAGACATTATTTCATGCATTATTGAGAAAAAAATGAAGATAAATATTCAGCAACATTATTTAAAAGTCAAGTTAAAACGTGTCCTTAAAGCAGAGTGTAAGTTAAAAGGACTTTTCAACTTTAAAGACAAACAACAACTATTGAATACTTCGCTAGTGGTGTATGAGTTCACGTGCCAGGCGCGCAACCAGGGATATGTTGGATCAACCACTAGAAGGTTATGACGTCAAATCCAATAAAATCTACAACACCGCTAGTCTAAACGACTTGTTTGTTTGTTTTTTGAATTTCGCGCAAAGCTACACGAGGGCTATCTGCGCTAGCCGTCCCTAATATAGCAGTGTAAGACTAGAGGGAAGGCAGCTAATCATCACTACCCACCGCCAACTCTTGGGCTATTCTTTTACCAACTAATAGGGGGATTGACCATCACGTTATAACGTCCCCATGGCTGAAAGGGCAAACATGTTTGGTGGAACGTGGATTGGAACCCGCGACCCGCAGATTGTGAGTCGACCTCCCTAACCACCTGGCCAGTCTAAACGAATGTGATATGTGCTTATCTTCAGTTTCTCCCGCATCATCCTCCATTTCCAGGAAGATATCAAATTTAGAATACTATAATATTTTGCCATTAAGCAACGAAGGCTAGCTCTTAACCAATAAATGAGCAACTACATCTTCAGTTGTACAAATGTAAAAAAGAACAGAACATGAACTTGATCATTAAATAACAATTAAATATAAAATTAATGTTGTTTGTGAACTAATCACTCAGTAATTGATTATATATTTCTATATATATTTGAGACTTGTGAATATCATAAATAAAATGCGGCAGGAGATTTCTATAAAGGAATTTATATTTTAAACATGTCATAAGCCATTTGTCTGTAATGTATATTTTATAGCCCTATATTTGGGTTTTCTGTTTGTCAAAAAAATAGCGAGTTTCTACCTAAAAAATTTTAAATTATTCGAATGGACTCTCATCAGATGTGTAAGTTAAAAAACGAAAATAACCAAAATAAAACGTTGTTTTTATTGGGAAAAAGGAAGATATAAACACAGTAAAACAAGTAACAACATGTTAATAAAACATGCCTAAGAAATGTTATAACTGGAGTTTCGTCTTTTGTTTTTATAAGAAGACTCACTGAAAGATATTTGTGTAAACACAAAGAGACCAACTCATGGTTGTATTTAAAATTAATATACTTAAATGTCTTATTTGATGTTGCATGAAAATAAACAAAACATTTTATAGAACATTTTTATTGAGACACCATCAATAGAAACTGTACATCACATGCTCTTTACGCATTCGAAAAGTTTAAAAACGAACATTAAGCTGAGTACTTACTTTTGCATAAAATCTAAAATTGTGCTGTTTCTCATAATATATTGTTCTCAATAACAGCTTTTAAAAAACCTAACAGCTACTCATAATATAACGAGCAAATGCTCTATCTACCCCAAAATAGAATATGTTCTGCAAATTTACAGCTAAGAATACGATACAAAGCTTTGCTATATTGCTAGAGAATCGTCGAGAGAAAATTAGATTTTAAAAGTTTACAGATAACCAGCTGTTTCAAGTGTAGTTCTAAACGAGCAAACATGTTAAGTAGAAAAGTAAAACTTCAAGGTACCCGTTGGACTGTAAAAATTACTAAACCTCTTTTATATTACCGCAGTCAAAGACTTAGCCACTTTACTCCAATTCTTTGAAGCTATCATATTATCATTCATAATAAAATAAGATAGTTTATTGCTTGGTCGTGTCATACACTATTCTGTATCCAGCAGGACTCTTAGAATAGTCATCAGGATGTTTTGAGACTAAATACACGTTTTTAGTACCAGCGTAACCATGGCCATAACCACCCTTACCGTGTCCTCCACCTCCATAGCCACCGTGACCACCACCATGCCCACCAGTTTGATGTCCACTGTTACTTCCTTTCTTATATCCTCCTCCACCTTGCTTGTAACCATAGCCGTCCTTATAATACTTGCCGCCATTTTTATGATCACCACCGTAGTAGTTGTCGTAGCCCCCTTTTCCGTATTTGTGATAGTCGTCCCCGTATTTCTTTTTGTCGTGGTATTTTTTGTCATCATATTTCTTGTATTTCTTACCTGCATTATGGTCATAGTAGTCGTGGAAGTCCTTGTATTTCTTACCGTAGTCCTTATCTTTATAGTCATCATAATACAATTTCTTGTCGCCAAATTCTTCCTTATGGTAGACATTCTTGAAGCCATGCTTCTTGTGGCCATAATCTTTATAGTAATCGCCTCCAAATTTCCCCCCTTTGTTTCCTCTGCCTCCATAATGGTCGGATCCGTATTTTTTTCCATGAAGTCCTCCGTCCTTGTAGTAGCCGTGCTTGTCCTTGCCATACTTGTCGTAATAACGACCCCCCTTATCATATTTGTG